TTGTATTTGCAAGTTACTCTAAATGATCTAAAAATTCTAACGAAACATGGTTAAAACTTTTCTCAAAAATTGATATTTTTTCGGGGAAAATTTGACAACGTCCAAAGATTCAAACGGCGCACAGAGGATCGAGTCAATGAAAGAGGTCGGACATGAAATGTTTTAATAAAAAAACAAATATTGATGTTTGTACCGTCACATTTTAAATTTTCAAGGGGGCCTTCGAAAGAAAATTTTACGAGGAAACCAATTGAACCACTTTCAGAACCTCAAATTAAGTTCTCTATGAACGGAGTTACTAGCTTTTAAAGTTTCGAAATGTTGGCTGACCTCGCACATTGACTCGATCCACTGTGCGGCGGTATCGCATAATGCAGCAATATTTCGTATCGTCAGCTCGTATGAAGAAATGCAAAAAATTACAAGGAACAAACGGCAACACCGTCCGAAAGGTCGGGAGCGGGGGTGGCGCAACCGGTAACGCGCGGCAAAAGTCAGCGAGGCGAGGGCAAAAGAAAAGGCAGCGCGGAAACAAAAGAAAAGTTGAAAGAAAAATAAATTAGAGCGAGAGAGGGAGCCGCAACGAGCTGGAAGGGGGTAATGACGTTGTAAAATTTGCATGCGCTCAACTTTCGAGCTTCGAATAATGAATTAGCACGAATTAGCGGACCAAAAGTGGGGAAAAAGTGGTGTACCGCACTGAGAAAAAACTATGGTTTATAAACCTATTAGAGATAAATATGGAACACCTATAATAGTCGTAAATAAACTAATGATTCTCGGTCTGTGAACCATACTAAGGTCTCTGTACCTAATTAAGGTACAGAGACCATAACTAAGGTATATGTGCTATTATTATATGTAGAGGTACTACTATTAGTGGTGTTCCATATTTACCTCTAATAGGTTTATAAGCCATAGTTTTTTCTCAGTGCGGGCTGAAAACGCCGCGGAATGCCAAGATGTAGTGCGAGACGACCACTAAATGGACCGAATGCAGCGGAAATGAACCCGGTGCAGGTTTGAAAAGGCACCTATTGGTGCAGGGAAATCAATGTAAGAGATGTGTGTCTAATAAAAGCAAACAAATTCTCTGCTGAACTCGGTCCAAATGGACTACTATTGGCGCACAGTGGGTCGGGTCAATCAGAGGGGTCGGACATGAAATTTTTGACTAAAATTACAAATTTTGACGTTAATTCCGTCACATTTTAAACTTTAAGGGGCGATTCCAGAAGGAAATTTCACGAGAAAACCAATGGAACTACTTTTAGGACCTCAGAGTTTCGTATAAACGTAGTTATAGGCGTTTAAAGTTTCCAAATTTTGTCCGACCTCTCCTATTGACTCGATCCACTGTATGGCGAGAGGAATCTCGAGCAAGGGCAGAGTTGTTTGTAAAATCGCCTAATCATGTGGGGAACTCAATGAGAGATGAATTGTTTCTGAAATGAGGAAGAAACGTTGGTTCCTCTCTGCGCATTTCGGTCCAAACGGGATACGATAAGCGAAAAATAAAATAGGTACATGGATAAGTTTGAAAAACGCACTGATTCATGTTCGGAACTTACTGGAAGGTACGTCGTTTCTGAAATTAGCCAAGAATATTGTTGTTTCCTTTCCGTTTACTTCGGTCTAAATGGGATGCGATTAGAGAAAAGAAACCATGGGCATGGATACGCTTGTAAAAGCACCTACTTGTGCAGGGAAATCAGGAAGAGATACGTCGCATGTCGTCTCTAAAGGAGCTGAAAAGGTTGGTTTATTTTCGCTTAACTCGGTGGAAATGGGCTGACTTACAAAATATTCACCAAAATTACTTCTTCAACTTGCATCACGCTCGGTTTGGCGTCAATGAGGCCTGCAGCGAGAGGGCGACGGGTCCCAAAGGGCTCTGCGAGGGACTCTTTTACATAGCCGGCGAGCTCAAGTTACTTGCGAACTTTCATGATTTACTTCTTATTAAATCCGTGATTAGTTAAGCACTGTCGTAAGCACTCGCCGTTTTATCGCGTCGTTAAAGTGTTTAATGACGGATTTTCCAGGATAAATAGAAACATCCGTGCCTCCAATTTTCCTTACAGAAATTTACTTTTTCATTTTTTTACTGATCTATTTTTTATTTGTAGAAGCGATTACCAGCTTTTGATCTAGAAGACATTGGAATTCAGGATAGTAATAATTAGTAGTGGTAACGAGAAAAAAGAAAATAAGATTAGGAATGTTCGCAAACAGAGTATATTGCAAAACATATTGTAGATATTTTGGAAAACATTTATCTTCCATACGATACGTAATGTCGAAGGAGCGCAATTTTTCTTGACTTCCCTTAGTAGGTATACTGTTGCTTATTATTAGATTTTCATACATGCTAAAGACTCAATGTTGCTTTCATACAAAAACGATTGATAGTGTTTAAATCAAAGCGACTGAAAATTGCGATGGCCACAATTTTGAAAAATTCGTCGGTAAGAGACGGAGTTTTCGCAGGTACCCATTATTGGCATAAGCCATCATTCTTGCCAAATTTTTTGTTCATCGGATAAAATTTCTATCATTAGATTAGGGTGCAAAAGAACGAGTTGAGAATAGTTCAGTGCGTTGTTGGGCCGATAGTAGCATTGTGATCTGGTATCTTTGTACCCTGAACATGGCAGATCAGAATTTTCAGTAGTTTTTTCTAGAAGCTACGGTTTCAGAATTACTATTTTCCAACCGCCATCACTTCGGTTGGGTTTTGATTTTTTTGGCCCAAAATATTAGTAGGACATCTCTCTATGTCCTTGTATCGTGAATAATGACAGGGTTGCCACAGAATTTAGAGGATAAAATTCCCTGATTTCTCTGACACATTTCGGTGAAATTCCCTGACACTCATCATAGATATGCCAGATGGTGAAAAAGACATAATTGGAAATAATTTTCAGGCAAATTTGTTGTTCGAAACGTCAAACTCCTCCTAGAAAGCAAATAAAAGTGACAGAAGGATTTTTCCCCAACATTTTCAAATATTCCCTGACTTTTAAAAATTCCCTGACATTTCCGGTTTTCCCTGGCTGTGGCGAGCCTGTAATGAGTATCATTCGAGTAGAATTTTCAAGTAAATTTTGAGTTTTTACGGATTAAGGTCCCTTTTTTACGGAAGGTAACAGATGATAAAATTAAAAATAGTCAATGCAGTTGCGAGGCAAAAGTGAGGCGGGATTTCAAGCCGAGAGCACTTAAAATTCCCTCCCCACCGAACCGAGCACTCGGAGAAAATCACTGACAAAAAGTTGCGTAGCAGCCCTATATAGAGTTCACAAGTTCAACGTGCTCCATAGTCGTTCAGGTGCTACGGTGAGTTCGTACCTGGCAACCTTTGAAATTAGCATTCGGAGTGGAAATTCGCGGAAAATAAGCAGGGGACGGGACGAACCGGGGAGCGAGCGTTCCCCGAAACGGGGACGGGGGGCATTATCTACCGTGCGTCGCGAGTCCATTCATTTCCTCATTCATCACCGGCGGAGAAAACTCGAGGAAGCCCGGTCCCGGTTTGGTGGCGACTTTTGCTTCGGGGACTCCTCGCGGATATTACGCGAGTTGCGAGCGGAAACGCTCGCTCGCGGATCTGACGGAAAGTTGCTGACTGATGTCGATTACGCCGTAGAATAATGGGCGACGTGTGCGATGAATTCGGGATGGAGGGACTTGGCAGGCCTTTGCAAGTGACGTACACAAACGGCCAGCGTTTAGCGAGAGGGACCCGATTTTTGGAGGAACGAAGGGTCTGCTCGTTGGACGTTGTTGCCAGAGTGGACCACGCGATTCCGCCGAATTTGCGACCCGCAATCAACATGTTTAAAGCCCAATTCGCACTATCGAACTTGTCATCCGACAAAATGGAACGAATAGTTGGATGGAAAGTTGAACGCAAAAAAATGTGATTCAATTACTCTCCGTTCAACTTCGGCGCCACCAATTGGATGGGAAGTTTGACCAAAACCCCCAAACTTCGACCAAAAGTACCCTACAGAGACAACTTTTGGCAAAATTTTGGGGTCCCATTTGAACCGCGTTTATCAGGAAGGAACCAAGCCACATACGCTATATTGTCAAATTTAACTGGGCAATTTAATTTTTTACAAAGGAACGTTTGTGCGGATTCCTTTGAAAATTTTAAAGAATTTGCTTCGTACTGCGTGCAGAAAATTCACTGAAATTTGAACACAAAGCCGCACAAGCGTTTTCATGTAAAAAATTTAAGTGCTCAATTAGATTTGGCAATAGCTTACGTGGATTGCTTTTTTTCTGCTTAGCGCGGTTCATTTAACAATAATTGTTACAAAATCTTGCAGATAGCCTCTAGAGGCATCTTTAGATCAACAGGAGCGAGCCTCAAGTTTCTTTTGAGTGGAGTCCGCCGAGAAATTACAGTGAAAAAAAAATATCGGTGTATTTACTAAGAAAAGGGTAGAATTACCAAGAATTCAGGGTCCTATTTGATCCCAGTTTTTTCTTGGTAAAATTACCAATTATAGAATTGGTAATTTTACCGAGAAATCTCGGTAAAATTATTGACTTTCTCGGTAATTTTACTGGACCCCGGTAAAAACGCCAATATTTTTTATCGACCGTGGTAGAATTACCGAGATAAAATGGCAAAGTTACCGGGAATTGATTACCAATGAAAGTGGTATTCTTACCTGAGAAAAGCAGTAAAAATATCGGTTTTTAGGTGAGCTTACCAGTCTGTCTTGGTAAAATTACCAATAATTGGTAAAAAAAGTGAAATGGTAAAGGTACCAACGGACCTTGGTAAAAACACCGAGAATTTTTTTTCAGTGAAAATCTTGCAGATAGCCTCTAGAGGCATCTTCAGATCAACAGGAGCGAGCCTCAAGCTTCTTTTGAGTGGAGTCCGCCGAGAAGTTAGGAGCCAGATCGCCCCTGGTTTCAGGGTTCCATTTTTAACGGCCCGTCAAATTTCATAAACTTTTGTATCTATGAATGGAACTTACTTGATGTAGTAGGGCCTGCCATCGGCGTCTACGGCCTGCTCCCAGCCGTAAGGAAGGCCTCCGCTGATGTCGCGAAGCCAGGCTTCTGCAGGCGGGACCCAGGAGGACGTCTGCGTTACATGGCTGCAACAAACAAACAATACGCCTGCATTAGCACCACACCTCACGTCCACCCTTTTTCTTAATCAACGATGCTAGTCCGGCTGGGTGCCATGCCGCCACGCTCCAAGCGTAGCGCCACGTGCCCCCACATGAATGACTAATGGCAACTTGGAATTACCCTGAAAAATCTAGTAGAAATGGCCGGTTGACTAATGCAGAGGCACGGATGATATCAATTGATATTGGAAGGAATCGGTAAATCTGAGTTCTCAGTACCGGTTACAGGTCAATTTACCTACAAACTTTTGACCTACGGCACATTTTACCTACAGCTTTTTACCTACGACATTTAAACCTACAACATTTTATCTACAAAGCATTTTGCCTACGAAGCAATTTACCTGCAGTTTTTCTTGCCTACAAAACATTCAACCTACAATTTATTTGTGTAGATGTGAGCTGTGTAAAAACGGACTCTATTTTGAGAGATTTTAGGGGAGGAAGTAACCACCAAGAGACTTACTTACTTCTCTTACAGGTCGAAGTTGTGCGCACACGCGCGGAGATAATCTAGTTGTCTCCCAGCAGTTTTCATCGCCTCATACCGTCCCGCTAGCCGGTGCAGTCTTTCGTTGACACGCCGATATTTTGACCTTTGCGGCATTTTGACAGTTCTTCCCATCTCGACCTCCATGATCATGTTCTCCACATCGTCATTCTCTTTCCTCAACTCTCTGAGAAAATGATAAAAAGAGGGGTGGTTCTTCCCCACTAAATCATTGAACCGGTGGTGCCACCCTTCCGTAAGATTGTTTGTTCTGGGTTCATTATTTGCGATAGCTTCAAATTGGTTCCATAAAGCGGGTGCGTATTGGGGAGGAGTTCTTCGACCACGTCTTCGTCTGATTCCTTTGATGTAGACTCTTTCGAAATAATCCGCCAGGTCTTGTAAATTATCGGGAAGAGTCTCGGCAAGGGCATCGAACACTTCTTCTACGTCATCTCGTGGTACAAAAGCCACACTTAACATGCAGTGAACTGCAATCTTTAATTCTCGATTTTCGGGATTAATGTAGGCTGCTTGTAGGCCAAGTTCCTGAACTTTCCTGTACGAACTTTGTCCCAGATGGTAAAAACACAGCCGCACTTGCGCATTTGGAAACATGACAAAAAAAAATGCAGGTAAATTGCTTTTAAGGCAAATTGCTTTGTAGATAAAATGTTGTAGGTTTAAATGTCGTAGGTAAAAAGCTGTAGGTAAAACGTCACGTAGGTCAAAGGTTTGTAGGTAAACTGACATGTAACCCTCAGTACCACTAAATGAACGACATTTTGCTATTAGGAACTACAATTTCTGGCTCATGCGTAAAAACACTTGTTTGCAAAGAAAAAGTAATAGTATCTACGTTGTTTCTAAACCAAGCCATTTATTACACTGAAAAAAAAACTCCGGCCGTGGGAGCCGCAATTACGGGCTATATAGACATACCGTCCGTTCCGGGCTCGAAGGCCGAAAATTCCGGCTGCTGGAGCCGTAGCTTCGACCTCTGAACCCGGAGCAATCACAGCTACGCCTCCACCAGCCGGAATTTTCGGCCTTTGAGCCCGGAACGGACGGTATGTCTATATAGCCCGTAATTGCGGCTCCCACGGCCGGAGTTTTTTTTCAGTGTATACTTCCTAATTGCAAAGTGTCGTCTAAGCATCACAGTACATGTTGTTACATCAGATTTCCAAGGAGAGCACATTGAGCTTCTTGAAAATTTGAAAAGAAGGGGTGTTGATAAGAGTTAAGTCGGATCTATCGCAGAATCTACATATCTTTCCATATTCTATAGTAGACGACGTAAATTTTTCAGAAATGTTTGGGTTTTTTTAAATACATATAGATTTTTTGATCCTGGAAAGAAGGCTAAAACTTGGAGCTGAAGGCCAAAATCGGCAAAATTTTGCGTGTTTTAATTTTTCCATGTCAGATTTCGTGAGGATGGTCGACTGTAACAATTCGGTTTGGCATAAAATTTGACAAGAAACCCTAGAAAACGCGAAATTTTGCTGATTTTGGCCTTGGTATTTAAGTTTGGGCAGAGCTCGAGGTAAAAATATGTAATATATTGCTGAAAAATATACGAACTGCACAACGTTTTGGTTTTTTTTTTGTAGGCGGGCCGAAGTTGGAAATGATTAATTCCGACGGAAACTGATGACGCCGATTGATCGAAATCAAAAATCGTATCGACTGTGCAAAACGTACCCTTATGCATTGCGCGGGCTCTGGTATGCGAGCTGGCGAAATTACTATAACAGATATTAAAAAGTTTTGGACAGGAATTCGTGAACAGGCGAATGGGGCGCGGGGTGTTTTGTCTTTTCAACAACAAAAGGACGTAGTTCTATTTCCTCAGCAGCCGTGAGAGGAATGCCATTACGTAGATGAAGACTTTTAAATCGAAGTGTAGTTAAGTTCTTTCACTAAAGAATGAAGGGTGCAGGGAATGCGGCGTGCACTCGTGCGCACGCATTTTAAATTCGGGGCACCAGAATCTTGGCTCATTCCACGTTTCTTTTCTCCTTTCCTATTGTTCTACTCAGCAGTTTACTTATTTTGTTCATTTATTTTGTTGTCGTTGTTGTTGGGATTCTTATCAGCTAACGCAACATGCATACCAATAGCTAGACTACAACATATATTTCACTCCGACGGTTGCAACTTGCGAGTCGCTGTCAGATTCCTTCTGTTTTTAATAAATTCTTTCTAGTAACTATTTTGGAATAAATTGACGATTTTTTTCAAGTCTATAAGCAATCAACATTATTTCCTGGTAATTGCATACGATGTTTTTGTGATTGTTATTTCAATTAAAAAGACGAAAAACTAAATTTAAAAAAGTTGTGCTTTTGTCGGAAAATGCACTTTTTTGTCGTAATGAAGATGAATCACTGCGAACAGGAGAAAAGATGAAATAATGGAACATACATTAGGCCAATAATTAAAAGTGAGAGCATGATGCGTGCGGCGTTGGTCCGAAAATTACTCGCGAAGAAAGCAACAGAGGTAACAGAATCCAACAGCCAATACGCATTTTTTTGAAAAAAAATTAGAGGTCATTCATGGCACCTTGCCAAAAGAAAACCTACGAGATTATAAATTGTGAACGACCAACGAAAAAGAAGAGCACCCTGCTGGTTACATTGTTATACTAATTGATTGGACTGCATGAATGTTGCGAGAAGAAACTAGCATTGCAATATCGCTGAGATAGTGGCCCTCCCGTCTTGCAAAAAAAGGACAAAATTGTAATGGAAAAAAAAAATCTCTACAATTCTTCAAAGATGTGATCCAATTTCAACTCCGAGGACGTATGAAAAAACGCCTAGATACAAGTGATACAAATTGCAATGATAGTGATTCCTTCTTCTGAGATGTGATCCTATTTCTATTCCGAATCGAAGAAATATGAAAAAACGCCTGGACACAAGTGATACAACTATTCTTGCTCCAAAGACGCATATGCTGCATATGCAAGAAATCGAAGGCGCTCTTCACAACATCGCATCGTCGGGACGCGGCCAAACTGTATCTCTCCTCCAAGCTTGCCGGGACTTCTTGATGGTAATGTTTTCAATCAAAACTGTCTTGATAATGAGTGCGTCCCCCGCATTGACAGATGAAATTAAAACAATTAAAGCTGAATAATGGTTGTTTAATCCGGTTCGAATTAATTAGCCCGCTCGAAGCGACTTAGGCGGAACGTGTTTTTCTGCGCTAATCTCGCACTCGCGGATGGGACTTTATGAAGGGGCAATTAAAAGTTTCAGAGACTAAGACTTGAATGAGTCGCTCTTCTTTCGTTCATCCTGAGTATAGGCAGAGTCAGGAAAAGCGTCGTTGTCAAACGGCCTCAGGCGCGCACTATTCCAAACATAGCAAACTCGCACACATGCGACGGTCGTTCAGAAAGTGAGCTTTTTTGCCGAAAATAAATGATGAGAATAAAAAAAAAAAAATTGAAAAAATCAGTTCTTGAAAAGTGTACTATGTTTTGTTTTTTGACTTAATGACCAATCAACCGCTGAGTTATTGAATTTTTCCGATATCTAAAATGATTTCCTTTAACCTCTTACGGGGATTGCACGAGGATTTTTCCGTATGCGTTTTCTCACAACTGTCAATGCTATTGAAAAAATTACACTTTGAATGATAATATTCGAACGCAGAACACAAGTTTTTGGATTTTAAAATTCTTTGATTTATTCCTGACTTTTCCATGTTCTTTTGTGTCATGATTCCTCTTCAAATTTTTCCACGAAAAATTTTCAGCGCGAGGTCTCTTGAAATTTAAAAAAAAATTTAATACTTCGGCAGCAAATAATTTTAACGTCCACAGCAAAATTCCCTGATTTTTCAGGTTTGAGCAGAATTCTCAGACATTTCAGGTTTCCCCTGACTTTTAAACGACTCGCCACTCAGTTTAATAGACGGAAAGATTCGTATCCGTCACATTTGGTTTTCTTCCAAACCATATCCAAAAATATATATTTTCGGACAAGACTGCGCTTAGTAGCTTTGAGAATAGATCCTCACAAGCGGTTACAATAATTTCCCACCCAAAAACCAAAGAATCCTATAAACTTTTAAGCCCAACTCACACTATCAAACTTTTCATCCGACATAATTGAACGAAAAGTTGGACGGAAAAATGAACACCAAAAAATTTGATTCAATTCCTCTCCGTTCAACTTTCCATCCAATTGGCGCCAAAGTTGAACGGCAAGTTGAATGTGACGTCACATGAAAGTTTCCATTCAATTTTTCGTGAAATTGTCGTTTTTTCGCGACAGTATCACAATATCCAGGTTTTCATTACGAGAAGTTGCATTCAAGGGTTGAATAAAAAGGTTGATGGTGTGAATTGGGCTTAAGAATAAAGTTCATTGGAAAAAAAATTCGCTTGGATCTAGATAGAGTCTGGACTCTTCAAAACATCGACAAGAAAAAATACTCTTGATGCAATCGAACT